TAGCGTCATTTTCTGCCTCTCCTCAAATTAAGAAACAATTTTTATTTGAAATATTTTGTGTAATCAAAAATAAAAAAGCTTTGAGGAATGATCAATTAAAATGGGAGACTATAAATTTAAACTTAATTAATAAATATATTAAAAAGTTTGTGCAAAATATTTTGATAGTAACAATTAAAGTTCTCATTTTTTGTTTACAAATAAACATGCTACATTTGTTAATTGTTTCTTGTATAATAATTACGGTAAATATGGTATAATTGGAAATAATTTAATAACATACCAAAATCACGAAAAGATAATTTTTTAACACAGTCATCAAAATTATCAGATGTGACGTCATAAGACATATCTGAAAATAAAAATTATAAATACAATAAAAATAAATATTACGATTATATAATATAGAAAATAATATATTTTCTACATATAGGATGTCTAATTTTAGTCGGTGATTTTAATTAATATAATTAACTTCTTGGGAATCGCAATTGATATACAGGATAATATCCCATTTATAAATTTACAGTACTATATTTCACAAACCAATGATTTTATTGACAAATGTTTCAAATAAAAGTTGTATGGTTTTAAGCGGGACATAAAATGGTGTCAATGATTTGATCTTGACTGAAGTTGTTTGAAGATCACCTTTAATTTCTTAGATGAAACCAGTATATTTTTTCACGTAAGTCAATTTTTCACAATATTCTGCATAAAATGTTGTAAAAATAAGCTAATTAAAAAGTAAATATACTTTACGCGATATTTTATACTGTAGTTTGATAAAATTGTAACTAAATATCTCGCAACTATGAAATATTTCGTAAAATATTCATTTTTTGATAGTCTTACTTTAATACTTTCATGCTAAAAATTATGAAAGGAATTGATTGTTGTAAAGAAAACAGTTATTTTTAAGAAAAAATATGTAATTTACAACTAACAGTTACATATTTTTTTAAACAACTATGTTTTCTTTATATTAATCAATTTTTCTCATTATTTTGTGCATAAAAATATTAAACTAAGATTATCGGAAAATGAATATCTTAAAAAATTTATTTTATAAAAAATTTAGTCTATGTAAGATTATGTTAAATTGAAGAGTATAAAACCTCAAACTATTCACTTATTGACCACCTGCTCTTATAAATGTTTATTCAGAATATTGTGAGAAATCAATATATGTAAAAAAATTGGTGGTTCTATTTAAGAAATAAAAACCCTAATAGCACACCATATCCGAAAGACATTCTGAGGATATCCAGAGGACATTCGAACATTCTCAAAATGTTCTCAGAACGTCTTCAGGATATGTGTGTTGTTAGGGAATGACCTTTACATCACCTTTAAATAATAAGTTTTCAATAAAACTGATTTGAGTTCTGTAAATTTATAGTTCTGTAAATGAGATATTCTATAAATATTTGAAATAATATATAATTTTATTTAAAAAATTATAATTTTTTATGTTTGTGTTGACTTTTCATTCAAAAATTAAATATATATTACAATCTCTTGAACTCTTCAAAACCATTAAAAATATTTAAAACATTTTCCAACATTCTAAAGATTTTTGAGATTATTCAGTTATATCATTTAAAATTAGAAAATATGTATCCTAAAAAAATCATAAAAATGAAAAGGTCAGGCCATGTTCAAAAGAAGGTACTCAAAAATTTAAACGATCTAATAATAAATTATCACAAAAAGTAACTGATATGTTATTCAAGGTGCCAGTTCAAAGTGAACATACGTAAAGTGTATATTATCTAAATTTAGTAATAATATATTACCATGAAAAGTAACTGTGATATTTTATTCAAGGTGCAAGTTCACATTGAATATACATACATATAAGTAAAACTGATTACAATTTGATTCTAGAAAATAAGTGCGATATGTTATTCTTAGTGCACAAAATATAATAGTCGTTTATAGAGATTTGATTTGAAATTCATAGTAGCCCGTACAATGAAAAATAATTGCTCGTAATTCCAGAGTACCAATTTGTTAATGACTCAGAAAAATAACATGGCGGCCTGCTCTCAAAAAACTTTCGATGGGTAGAATAAATAATTGAAATAAGAGTTGTGAAAATTGTATAAATTAAAAACCTCCAATCTTTCTTTAGTAAAATTTCGAATTTTCGTATCAACTTCCGATTTGTGTTATACCGTATTTTCAGGGAGTAAGTTATTGATCAGAAAACTTTGCCTTGTTCAAGTATCTACCAGCAGTGTATCTCTCTCGTGGGTTAGTAACCATCATCGTATAATAGATACCACTTTTCAACTGTCGGTAGTTAGCATCATTGAGAAGGAAGAACAGATACTGCAGATTCAACCTGAATCTACTATGTTTCGACATCAATCGTGTTCTAATAAATAAATATTCCGGCAATGCAAAGTTTCTATCTTCTCGTTGTCCATTGACACCATCAGGATATAAATCAGGGAAACACATGACATCCAGATATTTATAACGATTATCCATTGGAAAATCTTCAATTTTCACCATTTGATAAAGCTTCAATGCAGATTCGTTATCGATTCTTTTCGCGTGTATTGGGTATATTGTATGCTGATCGTTAATATCCGAATGTTCAGTGATTTGTGTGAGAAAAGCCGTACGTTTTAAGACGGTTTGATCATTATTATTTTTGTTTTGCTGTACATTGTACAAATTCAATGCTGGTAATTCCTCAACCATCTCATTTATTTCGTCATTGTCGCTTTCCTCATCGACAATCCTATATTCTGTTTCCTGCAACTTATCCTTTAATAGATCATCAGATGACGCTGGAAGACGAATTTTTGAGTAATGAGGATTATTTTCTTTCAACCATTGTAAAGCCTTATACATTTTATTAATATCTACCAAATTTTCCCAAACCACTTTAAATTTCTTGGGTATACCTCGAACGAGAATGTGCAACTCGTGATTCAAATTTATAGGATCTTCCGGAGGACATACCTTATCCAATGTTTCTTGTAAAGGCAGAGGCAAATGAAATGTTATACCTTTTCCTAAACAGAGTTCGATTATATAAGTTTCTTGATTTAAAATGTGCTATATTTAAATCATTTAATTATTTTTTTCGTTCAAGTACATTTAACAGCAAAAACTGCATATACGTAGGTATGTATTTGACTCTACTGCCATTACTCGAAACAAATACATTATTCGATATTAACAAATTGGAACTCTGGAATTACGAGTAATTATTTTTCATTGTACAGACTAAGTTTAAATTTTTGAGGACCTTCTTTTGAACATGGCTTGACTTTTTCATTTTTATGATTTTTTGGAGATAGGGTGAGAAAGGACGAATGAGAGTAAGAGAAGACGAGATAGGCGAAAGAGGGTGAAAGAGAACGAAAGAGGGTGAGAAAGGACGTACGAGGGTAAAAGAGGTGAGAGAGGGTGAGAGAGGACGAAAGAGGTGAAAGAGGATGAAAGAGGTCAAAAGAGGGTGAGAGAGAACGAAAGAAGGTGAAAAAGGACGAAAGAGGGTGAAAGAGGACGAAGAGTGTGAAAGAGGTCGAAAGAGGATGAGAGAGGGCGAAAGAGGATGAGAAAGAATGAAATAGGGTGAGATAGGACGAAAGAGAGTGAAAGAGGACGAAAGAGGGTGAAAGAGGACGAAAGAGGGTGAGAGGGAATGAAAGAGGGTGAAAGAAGACGAAACAGGGTAAAAGAGGGTGAGAGAGAATGAAAGAGGGTGAGGAGAGGACGAAAGAGGGTGAAAGAGGACGAAAGAGGGTGAAAGAGGACGAAAGAAAGTGAGAGGGAATGAAAGAGGGTGAAAGAGGACGAAAGAGGGTGAGAGAGGACGAAAGAGGGTGAGGTAGGACGAAAGAGGGTGAGAGGACGAAAGAGGGTGAGAGAAGACGAAAGGGGGTGAGAGAAAATGAAAGAGGGTGAGAGAGAATGAAAGAGGGTGAGAGAGGACAAAAGAGGGTGAAAGAGGCGAAAGATGGTAAAAGAGGACGAAAGAGGGTGAAAGAGGACGAAAGAGGACGAAAGAGGGTGAAAAAGAGGCGAAAGATGGTGAAAGAAGACGAAAGAGGGTGAAAGAGGACGAAAGAGGGTGAAAGAGGACGAAAGAGGGTGAAAGAGGACGAAAGAGAGTGAAAGAGGACGAAAGGGGGTGAGAGGGAATGAAAGAGGGTGAGAGGGAATGAAAGAGGGTGAGAGAGGACGAAAAAGGGTGAAAGAGGCGAAAGATGGTGAAAGAGGACGAAAGAGGGTGAAAGAGGGCGAAAGAGGGTGAAAGAGGACGAAAGAGGATGAAAGAGGGCGAAAGAGCGTGAAAGAGGACGAAAGAGGGTGAAAGAGGGTGAGAGAGGTCGAAAGAGGGTGAGAGAGGACGAAAGAAGGTGAAAGAGGCGAAAGAGGGGTGGGAGTGGGGGTGGGGGTAGGGCCGGGGGGTGGGATGTGGGAGGGAAAGGGGTGGGTGGAAGTTGAGGGAGGTGTGAGTGAAAGGTGAGAAGAGATTTATATATATATATAATCCTGATGACGTCAGCGGACGCGGACAGAGAAGAAGAAGAAGAAGAAGAAGACGACGTTACTTCATTTTTCATGAAAAACGTCACTTTTTGACCGCTTGTATCTCCAGAACGGCTTGACCGATTTTATTTTTTCTTGGCTCAAATTACTCGTGGCGATGCCGCCTTTCAGGTTATATTACGTGCAATTCAAAATTTGTTATATTTTAGTAGTTCTACACCCCCAAAAAATGGACTTTGATGGTGCAGGATAAGGAGACTTGTAGTGTCTTTTAAGGTCTTTTAGGGTTTGAACATGGCCGGAGACACTACCGCGTCTCCTAATACTATATTATATATATATATATATATATAGTAATACAATAGTAATACAAATTACTAAATATTAAGTGTTATGTGCAAATTTTAATAAAGGATCTGTTTCATATAAAAAATAAAAGTGATAGGAGACGAAAATATTGTGATTAATATTGAAAAAATTACCTATAGTCATTAAAATTCCAGAATTTTCCAGGAAATTACAGCCTTTGATATGCATCTCACCAATATTTTCATTTTTATCGATAGCATTTATCAATGTATTAATATCTAATATAAAAGCAGAACTGAATTATTATCAAATAATTATGCTAAAATAATAGTTATGAAAGTACTTCGCATTAATCTTATGTGAAATGAATTTCAGTTAAACAAGCTGTTTTTTTTCAAATGTAACTTATGATCTGTTGAACAAAAGATGCAATAATCTCAAGGCTAATTAATAAACAATTATTGAGTATAGCCAGGCAAGCAGTTCGCAAAGCCCGAGTATTTCATATTTGACTGATTGTATAAATTAGTACCTATTATTTAGCTTTGAGCCTATTACATTTTTTTCAATAGATTATAAGCTACAACATATTAAAAAACCAGCTGATTTAACCGACACTTCACATAACATTAATGTGGGATACTTTAAATTTTTAGTTAATATTAAGGAAACTCACCTAATATTTGCGAGTCATTGATCTCTAAAGATTCATAGCCTTTTTTTTGCAAGGCAGCCTTTTCATTATATATATTTTCATCAATAGATCTTATTTTCATATCATTATATATATTTTCATCAATAGATCTTATTTTCATATCATTATATATATTTTCATCAATAGATCTTATTTTCATATCATTATATATATTTTCATCAATAGATCTTATTTTCATATCATTATATATATTTTCATCAATAGATCTTATTTTCATATCAGTATCTAATATAAAAGTAAGAAGCAAAACTATATTATATGTTTATCATAAAATAGCACTTATGAAGTTTGCTAATATTAAAGAAACTCACCTAATATTTGAGCATCATCATTTTTAAGAGAGTCACAGTTTTCTCTTTGTGCAGCAATCTCTTTGATGCATGTATTCCTATCGACAGAGCCTTTCTTTGTATTAATATCTAATGTGAGAATAAAAAGCAAAACTACATTATTATCAAGTATTTATGATAAAATAGCAATTATGATATTTACCAATATTAAGGAAGCTCACCTAGCATTTCAGCATCAATTACAAAAGATTCACAGTCTTTTTCTTGCGAGGCAGTCATACCGTTGTATATATTTTCATCGATAAATGCTATTCTTGTATCATCATCTATAATATAAAAATAAGAAGCAAACTATATTAATATATGTTTATTGCAAAATAACATTCATGAAATTTGATAATATTAAAGAAACTCACCTAATGATATTTGAGCATCATCATTTTTAAGAGAGTCACAGTTTTCTCTTTGTGCAGCAGTCTCTTTGATGCATGTATTTTTATCGACAGAGTCTTTCTTTGTATTAATATCTAATATGAAAGCAAAACTACATTATTATCAAGTTTTAATGATAAAATAGCAATTATGATATTTACCAATATTAAGGAAGCTCACCTAGCATTTCAGCATCATTTACAAAAGATTCACAGACTTTTTCTTGCGAGGCAGTCTCATCGTTGTATATATTTTTATCGATAGATCCTATTCTTGTATCATTATCTATAATATAAAAGTAAGAAGCAAAACTACATTAATAAATGTTTATTGTAAAATAGCTGTCATAAAATTTGTTAATATAAAGAAACTCACTTAATAGTCCTTGAGCATCATCATTTTTAAGAGATTCACAGTTTTCTCTTTGTGTAGCAGTCTCTTCAAAGCATGTATTTTTATCGACAGAGTCTTTCTTTGTATTAATATCTAATATGAAAGTAAAAGCAAAACTACATTATTATCAAGTTTTTATGATAAAATAGCAATTATGATATTTACCAATATTAAGGAAGCTCACCTAGCATTTCAGCATCATTTACAAAAGATTCACAGCCTTTTTCTTGCGAGGCAGTCTCATCGTTGTATATATTTTTATCAATAGATCCTAGTCTTGTGTCATTATCTATAATATAAAAGAAAGAAGCAAAACTACATTAATAATGTTTATTGTAAAATAGCTGTCACAAAATTTGTTAATATAAAGAAACTCACTTAATAGTACTTGAGCATCATCATTTTTAAGAGATTCACAGTTTTCTCTTTGTGTAGCAGTCTCTTCAAAGCATGTATTTTTATTGACAGAGCCTTTCTTTGTATTAATATCTAATATGAAAGTAAAAAGCAAAACTACATTATTATCAAGTATTTATAATAAAATAGCAATTATAATATTTACCAATATTAAAGAAGCTCACCTTTTTTTTTTTTTTTTAGAGTCAGGAAATTTGCCTAAACCAAACTTTGCGTCCTGACCCTTGAGAGAGGGCCAGGAGGCTTCGTGGTGGATTCCCGCCCGTAGTATCCCGAGGGACTATCGGACGGGGGACCGACCTAAAACCTGACTGAAGCCCCTGGTCGTATGGGTATTGTCCACCGCGGAACCGCGTGAGCATTACTTCACGGTGGACCACCCGACCGGCGTCCTATAGGAGGACACATCCCCCGAGAGGATACTACAGGTATCCCCCCGGAGAGGACATCCCTTGCCCCAAGGAAGCTCACCTAGCATTTCAGCATCATTTACAAAAGATTCACAGCCTTTTTCTTGCGAGGCAGTCACATTGTTGTAAATATTTTCATCGATAGATCTTATTCTTGTATCATTATCTATAATATAAAAGTAAGAAGCAAAACTACACTAATATATATTTATTATAAAGCGTGGTTTACAATAGCAGTAAGCAGTAAGAGTAAGCAGTACAAAATGAGGTTTGTTTATTTTATTACTCCTGACGAAATGGGCAATCCAATTTCATACTGTTTACTCTTACTGCTTACTTACTGCTATTGTAGATCACGCTTAAAATAGCGATCATACAATTTACTAATATTAAGGAAACTCACCTAAGTGTACTTGAGCATCATCATTTCCAAATTTATTTACTTTTTTGTTTTCAAAGTTAATTCTTTTGCATATAATATACGGTTTTCCTTCAATTATATTTTCTACTATTTGTTTTAATACTGATTCCTTATCTGAACAAGTTAAAATAAAATTAATTAGTTTTAGTTCAAATTTTTCTGTCTCTCTTTCTCTCTTCTCTCTCTCTCTCTCTCTCTCTCTCTCTCTCTCTCTCTCTCTCTCTCTCTCTCTCTCTCTCTCTCTCTCTCTCTCTTTCTAGGCACACACACACGCAACACGTACGCACGCACACATATAAATATCGTAGCAAATGCAGATATTGTATAACAGCGGCATGACTTTAATATAACAGTTTTTACAATAACGTAACAGTTAAAAATAAAAAATATTGCTACTTACCATTTCTTGCTAGAATAATTGCTGTGTATCTGCGTCGATTGCTATACGTGGCTTTGATAATTCCTTTACTAACACTAATTGTATTCGACTTGCATACATAATGTATACCGTCATAAAATTTCACTAAACTATACATTTTGGAAAATGAACCAGTATCACGTATTACTAATGGCTAATGGCCTCCTGTTCCTTCCCGCTTTTTTTACATTCTCAAAATGGCCAGCAAGACCGACGTCGACAATTGACAATCAGTATGTACGTTTACACGGCACTCTTAAGCGGGAGCACACACTCTTGCATAAGCGCATAAGCATATGCATAAGAAATTCGATTGGTTGAATTTCTTATGCATATGTTTATAGACCAATCAAGATTCTTATGCTTACGCTTAAGCGTCTATGCAAAAGTACCACGTTGTGTATAATACATTATATATTTCGGCTATTTTGACAACATCGTATTTTTCATAAAACGGTTATTACGACACTCCAAAAGCAAATAAAGAAATTCTTTTTTTTAAATAGCTATATCATATTCATCAAATATGCAAGCAATCAAGATATATAGAGGAAAAGGTGCGAATGTAGCAAGTCAGGTTTTTGAGATATAATAATTAAAAAATGCGAAAAAGGGCATTTTTTCACCTTTTAGTAAGATATAACTTTTAATTGGGATGTGATACAAATTTCTTCGACAGCTTAAAATAAAGCTTGAGACTGTAGTTTATGTAACAAATATGAAAAAGTTCGAATCTAAAGAGTTTATAAAAAATTAATCGTACCTCACAAGATTCTATATTAGTATAAGAAAAAATGCAAAAAAAATATTTGTTATCTTATAATTAAATTTTTTATAAACTGTTTAGATTCAAACTTCTTCATTTGTTACATAAACTACAAATACCAACTACCAATATATCAGTACGGATAACATTTGCACTTTCTCTTCTATATATCGATTGCTTGCATATTTGATGAATAATATAACTATTTAAAAGAATTTTTAATTTACTTATAGAATGTCGTTAATAAATGTTTTATGGTAAATATGATGTCGTCAAAATAGCCGAAATATAAACTTAGAATTTAGATTTTAGAGTTAGGATATTATACTTAGAGTTAGAATTTTTGAATTAGAGTTAGGATTTAGAATTTGGACTTAGAGTTAGAATTTAGAAGTGCGACTGTACTGTTCGGTGTCGCGCAGAGAACTGCCGAAATTCGGGACTGCTCTGAGGTCCTTCGTTTCGGCGGCTCGGGCCTGCGGCGGCCTGGAGAGGGGGAACTCTCCGGAGTAGGGGCTCTCACTGTGGTGGAAGATCTTTAGGCGCTACGAAGCGCCACGCTTAGTTTCTAGGCGGAATTAAGCGTCATGGCCGGCTTTGGCGCGCTTTTCAAATGATGTTTGATAGTTTTAGGATTTATTCCTTACAGATGAAAAAAAAATTTACATACCCGGACATAGTAATAAGGCCGGACGTGACACTGTCGCCGCCGCAGGCCCGAGCCGCCGAAACGAAGGACCTCAGAGTAGTCCCGAATTTCGGCAGTTCTCTGCGCGACACCGAACAGTATAGTTGCACTTCTAAATTCTAAGTCCAAATTCTAAATCCTAACTCTAATTCTAAAATTCTAACTCTAAATATAATATTCTAACTCTAAATTCTAAGTCTAAATCTAAATTCTAATTCTAAGTTTTAGTCTCGAATTCTGTACTACTATACGAATAAATCAGTGTATTCATGTGTGAAAACTAGTGTTCAGTATTCTTCAAAACTTCCACTCCCGTGATAAAATACGATAGCGTTTAAATTTGTCATACGGCGTTTGAA